TAGGTTACCGAGATGGAACATTACCCGGAATGGCATTCTCAGAGATGGGAGATGTGTTCCAATCAGAACGATTCCTGGGAAGCAGAGCCAGTCCTTGCTGAGCACTTGCTAGGCACTAAGTCCTGTCTGTTCATTACTTTCATAGAATTTTTGTGGCGAAAGTGGGTATTGAAACATCCTATTTTGCAGATAGGGAACTGAGGCACTGACAAGATCACACAGCTATAATCAGCGCATGACCCCGAGGAGTAAGAATGTAGAACTTGTACTTTCAAGAGCCTTCTGTAAAGTCCTGTAAGAGGATCACTGAATGAAGGGCAGAGATGAGCTTCAGAAATCTCAACTCTTCACTTGATCGTGGGGAAAGGTTGAGGAGTGAGTGGTTAACACTTCATGATAGCCTATGACTTGGGCCCGTTAGTCGTAGTCCGAGTGATGCGAAGGAACTTCTCCTTGTCCTGCCCTGAAGACCTCCCAAGGAGGTGCACCCAAACCTCCTTGTCCACTCATTGCCCTTCCCTGGGCTGGTGGGGACTGCCTGACGAATGTATGTGTAAACCAAAATGTCGCCCAGCCATCTTTCGTCTACTGCAGTGGGAATGCCCTGAAACCCATGGGCTTTGGAGTTAGATGAATTGGCTTTTGAATTCCAACTCAGTGGTTTGCATACCCTTGGGAGAGTCAATAAAGATTTAACGTCTTCCAGCCTTAACTTCCTCACTGAGAAAACAAAGATGCTCTTAAATCCCTTTCAAATTTCTGAGAGGACTAAATCGGGTAACGCTGGCAAAACGCTTGCCACAGAGCCTGGCATATAGTGACACTTGGCACCACTTCACAGCCCTAGTGGTCTCCAGACTGAGGGCCTTGTTCTTTGAAGTTGGTAACTTATAACCCTATGAGGCAGGACTGTCTTCACGCTCATTTTAGAGATAAGCAAGTGGAGCCCCAGAGGAGCTAAGAACATCCAGCTAATGTCAATGGCAGGACCGAACCCAGGTAGACCATCTCCAGCCCCCACAGGCTCATCTATCACAAAGGACTTGGTAATGGTAGCTATAGACATGTGGTTCTCAATGGGGGGGGCATTTTGCCCCCTCCCCCAGGGAATAGATGGCACTGTCTGCAGACAACTGCGGAGGGGAGCTGCTGGTATTTATTGGGGAGAGGCCAGGATGCTGCCACATAACTAACAATGTACAGGGTGACTCCTATGAGAAAGAATTAACCAGCCCAAGCATTCAATAGTGTCAGTAGTATGAAACCCTGATGTGGGCAAGACGAGGTGGTACAACCCAAGGGCAATGCATTGCTTGCATGAGACGTGTTGGATGTCCGGTGCCCGTGCAAGCTCTCCCTGAACCATACAGAACGAAACAGGGTAACATGTGGGGAGGCACTTGGGTCAGAGGAAGGGGTTCAACCCAGAGCCTGACAGATTGAGAGTTGGACCCCCATTATGCTCTGCACTCACTAAACAGGTAGCTGCGAGTCTGTCAAAAGCCCAGATCGCTGGTCTATATAAGCTGAGGGGTAAGGATTTCTGCCCACAGCACTGCGAGGCTCCAACAAGGCAGGGCACATTTCAGGTACAATGTGAGTGAATAATATACTAGTGGGAATTTGATTACGGGGGGTGGGGGGTGGGGCTTCTCAATGGTTGGAACCCAGTGGAGGACTGGATGTGTTCAGCCCTAACCAAGATCCAGGAGGCGGCAGCTGTCTGGACCCTGGGGCGTCCTCCATTAGTAAAATCCAATACATGCTGACGATTTCTCTAGCTGGTTTCCCTCCCCGTAAGGAAGAAGGCCTGTCTGCATCGAAGGGTGACAAGCATTCATTCCCTCACCACAGCTAGCAGATTTTCAGTTCTGTCATGGGGAAGATGCTTCATGTTTGCTTTTTTTTTTTTGGCAAAACAAACCAACAATAACAACAATAAAAAAATGCCACATTTAAAAGCAGGGAGATGGATGCCACTATCTGTAGATTTCATAATATCCTCAATTCCTATCACTCTAATATTGGAGGATTTTTTTACACTGTTGTTTAGCACTGGTTTAGTTTTATTTATTTAGTTTTTTAAGGCTAAAATACAAGCGGATGTCAAGCCCTCACCCCAATTTCTTGCAATTACTGGGATGTGCACATCACCCACTTTCCATGATTTTCCACGAGGCAAAGCCAAATGATCTGAGTCGTGATCACGCTTTCTTTCCCTAGCACTAAATCCAAGTGTAATCGGGTAGATGTTTAAGAGCACAGCTCTAAAGACGCAGGCACCAAAGTCTTTTTACAGAGATGCTATATTTTTAATCAAGTGAACGTTTTAATTACCAACATGCCATCCACCTCCAAACCTCCCACTAAACCTGCTCCTGAATTTCTCAGGGCTTCCTGTGAGCAGAGAGCCATGCCTTGCCCCTTTGAAGTACTGATTATCAGGGCTGAGAACCAACTTTGGTAGATACACCCACCAATGCATATGCTGCATTTATTTTTTTCTAAGCTACAATAGTTTCTGGGTTTGACACAGCCTGATTTCAGGACAAGCCCACTCTGTCTGTAAGAAGATGGAAGGGACCTTGCTGGTGCTGTCGGGTAGGGCATTAGACCACCAATGAAAAAGTCAGCAGTTCAAATCCACCAGCTGCTTCTCAGGAGTATGAGGAGGCTATCTGCTCCTGTGAAGATTTACAGCCTTGGAAACCCTGTCTGGGGTCCCTACGAGTGAGACTGGGTTTGATGGTAGTGTGTAGGAAGGTGGAGTCAATGGGGGATGAAGCAAATCACCCTCTTCCTCCCTCTCTCCTTTTTTGCCTTCTTTCTTTCCTCCTATCTTATCTTCCCTCTCTTCTGCCGCTTAACCTAATATTCTGGTGGTCACAGGGGCCTTTCATGAATTACACTGGAGAATGATGTTGAATCCCAGAGTCAACATCGACCTACATATGTAAAACAGGGAGGGACAGCATCCCTGGATTCTTGCTTTTGTTTTGCAGACAACTGTGAAACCTTAAGCGTGGCACATGACTCTCTGGACCCATGGTCCTTCTAGTGGAAGCCATTTCTACCTCCAGTGGACCTGATGACCCAAACCATGTAGACTTGTGGGCCCAGGCACACGACATTATCCCGTGTTTTCAGGAAAAGTCTGAAGCCCAGGAATACGGATTTCCAAGAGGAATCTCTTAATGTTCTTAGATGTTGGAAATGCATACTGTTTGGATGATCTCATCATGCCTGTGAGCCAGCTAAGGGCCAGGGCTGAACGAATGTAGTCACTGGACAAAATTTTGTCTGGGACCATGACTTAAAACTACTCCTTAGCACAAGCGTTCAAGTAAATGACAAAAACACCATGTTCTATCCTCTTATCTAGCCACCAATTATCAAGTGCCCAAGGATATAAGCAGACTCAGCTGTAGATGCGCTAGTTAACTTATTTCTTTTAAAATGCTGACAGATGCCTTTCAGCATAGGAGTCGCAGAGAGTGATACTCAAGGGAAATTGAATACACTACTCCATACTTCATTTTATATTCCAACTACCACTGTTGAAACTTATATAGTTGTACTTAGCTTTTGTCTGTTGGTTTATTAAACAGAACTCTCCCCAACAACTACCTTGGTGAGAACTTTAGGAAACCAACCAGAGTGCGGAAGCTCAAATAAATTCACTGAGTGGGATGAGGCTATTAAAACACATTCTCACTATTCGAATTGTAGCTAGAGGTATATGTGTGTAAGGCTTTCTATTTCCTTAATATTATTTTAAAATTTTATCTGTTGGGAACTACTGTATATGGTTAGCTTTTTTAAAAAAAGTATGGTATAAATCGTCTTCAAGACTTCCTTTCTCTCTATTAGATTGGGTTTATGAGAAACAATAAACAGAGGAAAAATATTGACCATCTATAATCAATAAAGGAGATGAGAGCAGACAGGTTTCCATAAAGCCATTGAAGAGCTCATGTGGCATAAACATGCACATGACCCTGTCCTTAGAAGTCCTGTCCCTTTCAGGGCACGCAACTCAGAAGCCACACCTCATGCCCGTTATCACTTTCCCCAGATCGCAGGAGCATTCTAAGCCATCACGGGAAATCCACACCTTGCCCCAGCTGGACGGTATTTTCCAAAAGCCTTAGGCTCGCATGTAAAAGTCCAGGCTTTTAGGCCGGTAACATGAATGATGGCTCTCCAAATTTGGTATATCATGGAACAGCCAAAGGACATTTTCAGCAGTTAACAATTACAAATAAAAATTCCTCACC